TTAGGCTTGTGACTGGGGTCGCAGTCGCGAGCCTAACATGGCTCGCAAACCTTAATTCTGCACCCCACCTGAATCCCCCGCCGGGGCCCTGTGCTTTACGCCTGAGTCTGTAGGGCACACGTCACCAGCCGCCTAGCTAATAATAATCCGCGCCTGCTCCTAACCCTAAGTTCGCGCCTGCCGTTACGCACGGCGCCGACGCTTGTCCCGACATTGTCGCGCACGACGGCGACAGCTATAGCACTCAGAGGCAATGTATAAATTCCGAAAAAAACGTGATAAATTCTAGAATATATACTAGGACTACATACATGCTGCGCGACGATATCTTAACGATTAGTTACCCTTCCATTGTCATCATCGACAGCAGCAATGAGATGAGCTGCGTGCTACCTCTCGTATGCATCATAGGGTCATGAATAATGTAGAGGATACTTACTTACAAGTGAAAGTACAATAAGTAACATCATTAGCCCGGAGTGAATGTAATACCACCTACACAGGTGGATACCCCTTCTGCTTGGAGAGAAGACACCTGCCGGAACGGTGAATGTCACCTTCGAAAATTGCGAGGTGCTTCTAGGACCACAAATTCTGTGAAAGACACTGTAGTACACCATTGACTGCATAGAAAAGTAAGAACAGGGAAAGAAATCATGCAGCAGGTTGAGAACGAGATAAGGGGAATAAGCGGTCCAAAAAAGAGGGGGGGTCATGCAAATGATACAATAAAACATGTATATACTCCCTCTGCCACAGCCGGAGGCTGCATAGGTATACTGCACCCGTCGATGAAATGAGGAGGTGGAGATGCAGGAAGGATGCGGGATAGAAGGCAAAAGAACAAAGCTCGAATGGGTCCGTAATAGTCATACTCACAAGTGGTGTTAGAGACCTCTGGAATCCGATATACCCCTCAACCGATTGCGAATCGGCTCGTCTTGACCGTGCACTATCCTCGAGAGTTGCAGGTGTGATAGACACCCGGGTAAAGCGAGACTGAACGCATAATGAGGGGGCAGAACGAGAGTGCGAATGAAGCCTCGAATCAAAAGTAGGAAAATAGAACGGAGGAGGGAATGTGCACACCTTGCGCCCCGATGCCAGCTACTGCAACATGGACGTCTACCCGAGGTTCAGAGGCATACTCAGACCCAAACTATGGTGCGCAGAAGAGATTTATTGTGCTAGATAACCGGGCGCCGAGACACGCAGGAGCAAGAGCCAGATACGAACGGCAGATGAGCAGGTGGCAGCGTTGGACCAGTGCAGCACGCTGATTCGGACGTCCGAATCGGACTGACTGCAGCGCGTTTCCGGTGGCTGAGCGCTACTCTCCTCTTCAGATACTGTCGGATCGCATCTCCTCTACGGCGGTGTAATACCTGCATTCTTCTGTATCTATGCATTCTTTCAAGCAATAGTACTGAGTTGTCAAGCTGCGCAACGGGCTCTGGACGCCGTACGGATGCATTAGGGACGCGATCGGCAAATCTTGATGCTCGGAGTGTAGGATTGTGGGATCAGCAGAGAGCAAGGGAGCTGAGTGAGTCCTCTGGCGGTATCTCCCATCGCATACAGTATGGTTAACCTAGATGAAGAGTGCAGCCCTCACGTTCTTGTTACTCTATAGGAGAACTCCCTATGTTCGCTCTGCCGGTTTGTAGTCATTGCCCCCCTGCCCCGATTCCTCCGCTAAGCTCAACGATGCCACGTCAATGGATTCATATTTTGTCTGCAATGCCTATGGTGCGCATCGGTGTTCCGGTTGACTGTGGATTGTTGGAGACAGCACCATGCCCCAGGACCAGCAGGATCAGTGCACAATTGCCGGCACTCTTGTTTCAGTATTCTATCTGCATTTTGTTTATGTTGTACGTTCTAAGTGCCTCCCCCGGTCATTGCTGATATTTCTATCCATTTGTCAGGGATTGTTGATGCCTCTGCTCTGCAACAGCACCTCAGTGCCCTACCATGTCCGTCAAGGGATCTCCAAGCCCCATACTTTCTCCGATGCTCTCTTTCCGCGTCATCACCAATACATAGGTTCGCTTTTCTGTTTGTCTACTGGTATGCATTGACCACAGGGCCCTCTCATTGTCTCTACCAGTGGGAACTGATGTCACTGCTCACTCAACATTGTATATTGTTTACCTGAGGTAATCATAATTTTTAATCGTGCATACGAGAGGTAGCACGCAGCTCATCTCATTGCTGCTGTCGATGATGACAATGGAAGGGTAACTAATCGTTAAGATATCGTCGCGCAGCATGTATGTAGTCCTAGTATATATTCTAGAATTTATCACGTTTTTTTCGGAATTTATACATTGCCTCTGAGTGCTATAGCTGTCGCCGTCGTGCGCGACAATGTCGGGACAAGCGTCGGCGCCGTGCGTAACGGCAGGCGCGAACTTAGGGTTAGGAGCAGGCGCGGATTATTATTAGCTAGGCGGCTGGTGACGTGTGCCCTACAGACTCAGGCGTAAAGCACAGGGCCCCGGCGGGGGATTCAGGTGGGGTGCAGAATTAAGGTTTGCGAGCCATGTTAGGCTCGCGACTGCGACCCCAGTCACAAGCC